TAGAATGAGATTAATATTCACAAGTGTTATAATGATATGTCATAATATTATTCGTTTAAATATAATTTGTTTTAAGTAAATGTGTTCAAATTATTAATTGTTTTCAAAAAAAATTCTTTTTTTGTTTTAAATTTTATAAAACAATTTATATCCTTCTAAACTATAAGGATTTGTACAATAATATTTTTTAATATAACTTTTTTTTAACAAAAGAACAAAACATAACTTTTTTTAGCACTTGTCAAACATGGTGAATTTTTTTTTTTTTTTTAATCTCAATTGTAAACAAATTAAAATAAAGAATAAAGATATTTTTGGCTCAAATTTCCAAAATAAATTAGAAAGAAACATTATTATTTTTTTATTAAAAGTGATAGTTTGTTAAACTTTTTTTATTTAAAAAAAAAGGGGGATTATAGGTGATAATTTATTATTCATCTAAAATTATTTTTAGATCAAATGAAAATACCATATTAAATTTTCTTTTCACCTTTTTTTTTATTCAAATACTTTTATTTTGTAAGAAATTTATTTTTATTCTATTTAATATTTTATTGTAATTTTTAAATTGAAAAGAACTAATAGTAACTCGTGCTATGCATGACATGTAAAAAAATTAATAACATATTTTTATATAAAATAATATAAATAAATAAATTTTTGTATGTAAATTATGAAAATAAAAAAGATTGAAATTTACAATTTAAGTTTCATAATTTTATCATAATTTATTTAATATTTTTTAATTTATCACAAATTTAATCATGTAACTTTCATTTCTCTTGCTAGAAGGTGAGCTCAACCCAAACAACTTGAGCAAGCTTAAATTTTTGTAAAGATTGAACAGCATAGTTTTTAATTAAGTGAGGATTCAAAAATTCAAATTAAATTTGAGTTTGAGATTTTCAATAGAATTTTGCTTGAAAATATTTAAAGAATATACAATAGAATTTTGCTTGAAAATATTTAAAGAATATACTTTTTAGAAATGGATCATTGAATAAAGGGTTGTTTGGAAAGTGCTATATTAACTCTTTTTTCTTTTTTTTTAATCTTTTTTGGGTTACGTTACATCTTTATTTTTTTACACATCATTTCGTAAAAAATAAAAAAAATATAATTATTTATTTTTATGAATCACTTCATACTTCTACTTTTTTATATATATTTTTGTAAAAAATAAATAAAATATACTTATTTAACACTTTCTAAACAATCACTTAAACAATTTAACTACTTTTTGACAATGCTGTTGGACGTCAAAGGTGGCTATGGATTAGAAAATGAATGAAAATGGTGACAGTGAGCTAAGGAATAGGACGAGGAGTAGTGAACGAGTAAAAGGATTAAGGCAATAAAAGGAGCAATTTATAAACTTGGTAAAAAATTAATTTTTTGACTTTTTACCAAGTTTTTAAAAAAAAAAAACACACAAAAATTGTCAGATTTTTTTTGTCAAAAAAGTCTCAAAAAAGTTAAAAAACTAAAAAATTAACTTTTTATCAATTTTTATGTGGGTTTAGGAGGAGGTGATGATGATGGATGGTAACAAAGATGGAAGGTGGTTGTCATTACTAATGAAGGAGAAAAAAATGTTTAAGTTACCTAAATTATTTTTTTTATTAGTTATAATTAATTAATACGAATAGATAGTTAATAATCATATCATTTTAAAATTTTACTCAAAACAATTAAAAAAATTAAAATTTGATACATTAAGGTCAAATCTTAAAGGTTTTTTTGTTTTAAATTTTTTCCACTTGCTTTTCCTAAAACAAACACGTTTGGAGATGAGTACCTTTCCACATACTCCCTCGTTAAATTATGGACAAATTACATATACTCCCTTGAGGTTTGACTAAATTATAAATACTCTCTTAAAGTTGGAGAAATTATAAATTTTTCCCTGAATGCTATATTTGCATAACAAATTAGGGAGTAATTTGTTATGAAATTTAAATCTCAGGGGACAAATTGTTATAAAAATACAAACCTTAAAAGACGGAATGTTATTTATAAAACTTCAAAAACATATCTGTAATTTAATCAAACCTCAAGAAAGATATATGTAATTTACCCTTAAATTATTGTGCAGAGTAAAATGCATAACTCATGATAATATATTTTTTTATTTGTTTGTTTGTTTGTTGCAAAGCCATCATCACCTAATATACAACACCAAAATAACAATCGCCTCTTTGGGAAACTGATTAAAATTCATTTCTTAATTTTTAATTCATTTTAAGTCATATTATTTCTTATATTTTTTTTAAAATAAATTTAAAAAGTCAAAAAGTTAGTTTTTCCATTTTTCCAAAACACTTTAATGTTTATAAAAAAATAAGAAAAAATTACAAAAATACGTTTTGAGATTTGCTTATATAGATCGTTTTCTGTGATTGTAGAAATTACTTTCCATCCTCTGAGGTTTCTAATTTTATAATAAATTACCTCTTTTATTAATAAATCATTAAGTCAATTAACAGTTTTTAATGATATTAAAAAAATATTTCAATTAATAACTTAAGTAATTTTATTTCAAATCATAAAAATAAAATCTATAATAAATTTCGTGGGTCTAGACTAGGGTTGGTCATTCATCGGGTTGAACCGACACTTTATAATAAAAGATTTTGTGTTTGCCCAAATTTAGTTCGGACCTAACATCGGGCCTCTACTTCTATTTAAGTCCAGTCCAAAAAATAATTATAAATTTCAAATCCACCCATCGGGTTATATGTTAAAAAAAATTAAAACATTTTATAATTAAATTCAATCACATATTACATTTTTTAAATAAACATACTAATATTATTATAAATTGAAAGATTTCGTATATAAATAGATTTTTTTTAAAAATAAATTCAATCAAATATCATCACAAATGTAAATTTTAATAAAATCAACAAATATTTATTAATATATTATAATTAATTAATTAATTTAATAGTGGAGCAAGTTGGGTTAGATTAAAAGTATAAATATCAAATGAGAGGGTAATTTATAACGAAAAATTGGGTCGAGCCACAATCCTTTAATCTCTGTTTTGGGCCAGACTAAAAGGTCGGAGTATAGACGTCGAGTAGCTTGGTCCCATTTTATCTGAGTACCAAACTGGGTAAAGGCATTGACCGAGCTACCTAAAACTAGGCCCAAGGGCTGGCCGAGGCATTTGGTAAGATAGAGGGCCGAACTAGGTGTAGCTCGGCCGATGCCTTTATTTCATTACTTAGATAAGGGCGTGACCGAAGTAAGTTAGTTTGGTTATGTTGCACTGGCCTAGACAAAGGGGAAAGTCATCTCACTTGGCTAGTAGTAGGTAGGGTATTATCAAGATATGCGTTATCCTTGGTAAAATAATTCCTAGAAGGACTATGCTAAGGAGAGTTAGAGTCCTACTAGGATTGTGCCAGGGATTTGTGATTCCTAGGAGGACTCTTATAAGGAAAGTTGGAATCCTATTAGGATGGTGCCAGACAGAATCTATAAAAGCTCATAGCAGGACCTATGGACAGATATCACAATTTTGACTCACAAATTCACAGAGCTTTTGTCTGTTGCCTATTTGTTGACTTAGATATCGGAGAGGTATTCGGCATACACCTGCCGGCTAGCTCACGTTTGTGTTTTCAGGGAGTAAAGCGACGACGTTTGGAGGAAGCACAAACTTGATTAACAGGATTATACGAGAAGATTATTTCGTGCTCGTACAATTGGCGCCGTCTGTGGGAAAGCACAAAGAATAAAACCTTTTGATCGAGTTTTCCTCTCTAGTTGAAACCAATGGTGCACAATGAAGATTTGCCGGAATCTGCTATCGATAGGCAAACCCTGGAGGGGGCAGAAGACGCGAAGGTTTACCTTATATCCCACCCATAGCAGGATTAGAACCCCAACGACGAAACTCCCGGAGGGACACACGGGAGAGGTGGGGCACCAGTCCCCGTCGCTCTCAAAGTCCTAAAAGACAAAAGCGGAAGTTGGATCCACAGGTTCTGGAGGATTGTGTGAGAGAGTAAGACGAGTTAATAAGGAGGATGGCGGCAGACATGGAGACAATGAAGTGTCAGATAAAGGAAAAAGGGGTGGCGACGGAAGAGGGGCGCAAAGGCAACACGCCATCTTACCACTCGAAAGATCATGACAGACATGTCACGCCATCGCAAGCAAAAAGTATGAGCCTTAGAACAGGGAACACTCAATCAAAGACTTCCAGGACTCGTTACTCCAGGTCTGAGAGAACGAGGACTGAAAGGTCGTATATAGAGGGAAGCAGCTATCGGTCCTCGCACACGCACCAAATAACATCTAGGCACACGGAGTTACCTAGATCAGCGGATCTGCGAACAGTGCTCGAGGAGAGGGCCCGATGAAAGGAGGACACTAGGGCTCGCGACCCTCGTAGAGTCTCAGCCTTACAACGATTGGCTCTAAGGACACATGGGAGTGTCGTGGTAGGGGTGCCAATATCGCGCCTTGCTTATGAACCAACGGATAAAGTATTAGCAACGTTACAAAGCTCGCCGTTTGTTCCGGCAATTGAGAACGTGCCACTACCCTCAGGCTTCCACCAGTCCAAATTGACCATTTATGAGGGGAAGTCAGACCCCTACATGCACTTAAGTCACTTTTACCAAGTTATGGCAGCATATTGGCGAAACGAAGCTCTAATGTGTATCATGTTTCCATCCAGCCTTGGCGACCTAGGTTTGACCTGGTTCGAAAGGCTACCAGAAGGCAGCATAGCCTCATAGGCACAGTTGGCAAAAGTGTTCGTGACTAGTTTCAGAACGAATACCAAGACGCCAGTGGAGATTGACCAGCTACTCTCCATTGACATGGGCGAAAAGGAGACGTTAAGGTCTTACAACAGTTGATATTGGGAAACTTGTAACCAGATTGGGGATTGTCCTACAAATCTCGCCATCACACAATATAAACGAGGTTTACCAGTAGGTAACAAATTGAGGGACTCAATGACAATGATGTCATCCCTTACGATGGAGGCCCTAATGAAGAGAGTGTATCAACATATCCGGGTAGAGGAAGATAGAGCCCGTGCTAAAGCAAAATCTAGCACAACAACGATGCCAGATAAAAAGACTACAGCAAAAATCAACACGGTAGAACAACCAAGCCAGAATAGGCGAGGCAGACGAGCCAACAGAGAGGACCCAGAAAAAAAGAACTTAAGAATCCGCACTGCCATCACCACAGTATTCAATAAACCAATCTACCAGATTCTTAGCAAGATACGTGATGAACCCTTCGTTCGGCGGCTAGCCAAGTTGGGAGAAGCACAAAGAGGCTATGATGAGAGGTCCCGTTGCACCTTCTATGATGAGAAGGGGCACCTCATTGAAAATTGCACACCATTGAGGCAAGGAGTTAGTGGCTGTTGGACACCTGGACCAGTATATAGAAGGGGGAACACAGCCAGCCCCCTAGGACCTCAACAGACCAAACAGGATGCCAATCGACGGTCCATCCCAAGGCATAAACGGGATCGTCGATCCTGAGTGGATATGTGAGCTCAATGGGATGATAAAAAAGGCTGAGCACTTGAGAGAGGTATTAAGTGCACAACCCACCATCAAAAAGGGCAAAACAAAGGCTACGAACATCATATCCTTCTCAAACAGGGATCTAGCAAGGCTATATTTCCCTCACAATGATGCGCTGGTGGTCACTTTGCGCGTCAAGAATTTTGATATTAAGCGGATTTTGATTGACCAAGGAAGCTCATGTGAAATAATGTACTACGAGACTTTTAAACAACTGAAATTTGAGGACAAAGACTTGGCACCTGCAACATCTCCTCTTGTCGGTTTCAACTCAATGCCAGAGCGGCCAGTGGACAAGATAATCCTCCCAGTCAAGGCAGGAACCATGACAAAACAGGTGGAATTCTGGGTATTGAAGGTCCCTTCCACTTACAACATAATCTTGGGAAGGGCATGACTGCATGCCATGCTTTCAGTGGCGTCAACCTACTATCAGGCATTACGATTCCCTAACGAAACCAGCGTGATTGAAGAAGTCTTAAATCATGTTGAAGCAGTGTTTCATCACAGTAAATGGTAGCCATGCTGCAAAAGGGTTTGTTCAGATGGTGGAAGAGCTAGAAAGCAATGAACTGTTTGCAGATGTCGGCAAAGCAGCAGAGTAGAAGGCAGTGGAAGACTTGTTTGAGGTAAGGATAGATGAAAAGAACCCATAAAAGTTCTTTTTTCTTGGCTCGTCTTTGCCCAGCACTGAGGGAATAAAGGTCATGAAATTCTTAACCTCTAACATCGAAGTGTTTACTTAGACACCATACGACATGCCTGGCATTGACCCAGATTTCATTTTCCATCAACTTAATGTCCATCCAACTGCCAGACCAATTATTTAGCTCACTCGTAGATCGGAAATCCACCACGTGGAGATAGTGGCGAATGAAGTAGGAAACTTGCTGGTGGTAGGAGCCATCAGAGAAGTACATTATCCCAGGTGGATCTCCAATACTGTTATAGTGCCAAAGAAGAACTAAAAATGACGTGTTTGCGTGGACTACAAAACAATCAATAAGGCGTGCCCAAAGGATAGTTTTTCCCTACCACGGATAGACCAACTAGTGGACCTGACGGCAGGACATAACCGAATTAGCTTTCTTGATGCGTATTAAGGTTACCATCAGATCGCTATGTATGAACTAGACCAGGAGATCACATCATTTACAACGCCTAGAGGATTGTACTGTTACAAGGCCATTCCCTTTGGCTTAAAGAAAGCAGGGGCTACATTCCAACGGATAGTCACCAAAATGTTTGAACTATTGTTAGGCAGAACAATGGAGGCTTACATAGACGACATGGTGGTCAAAAGCAAGGATGAGAAGGACCATCTCAGGGGCCTAGATGAAATGTTCCAAATTTTGAAGTCTCACAAGTTGCGTCTAAACGCATCTAAGTGTGTATTCGGTGTAGGATCAGGCAAATTCCTAGGCTTTCTAGTAAATAACCAGGATATAGAAGATGATCCCTCTCAGATCAAAGCAATCCAAGATCTTGAGAGGCCCAACACAGTCAAAGAGGTATAGCATCTCACTGGCCTAGCAGCCGCGCTCAACCGGTTCATAAGTCGGTCGTCAGACAGATGTCGACCATTCTTCCAAGCATTGAAGGCCAAATTTGAGTGGGAAGAGGAATGCGACCGCGCTCTAGAAAGCTTAAAAGACTACATGACTTCTCCTCCGTTACTAGTAACCCCAGTACCATGGGAAGAGCTCTTTTTATACTTAGCAGTTTTACAGAATGCAGTAGGCGCAGTGTTGGTCAGAGCGGAAGGAATCCAACACCTGCCCATCTTTTACGTTAGCAAGACCTTGCTAGGCGCTGAAACATGGTACCTACTATTAGAAAAGCTGGCATTAGCTTTGATGATGGCCTCAAGAAAGGTGTCACACTATTTCCATGCCCACACTGTGATCGTCCTAACGGTTTTTCTATTAAAGGCCTTGTTTGAGAGGGCAAATTTTTCTGGATGAATCTTGAAATGGGCGGTGGAGTTGGGGTAGTTCAATATCAAGTTTCAACCCATAACAGCGATAAAAGCCCAAGCTTTAGCAGACTTTGCGGCTGAGTTCACACCAGGAAGCCATCACATCTACCCGGTCGACTTGACCGATGTAACCAAAGTAAGGGAAGAAAGTGCCGCGAGAACTGCGCAGCCCCTAATAGAGGATACCCAGCCACATTGCAAACCATACAGGATTGAGGACAAGAAGGAAGGAGCAAACCATGCTATTCTCAGTGCAGACTCCTCAAGTAATGACTTGAGGTAGTCAGACAGTAGAGTTCAAACCCCAACAACAGATATCAACTTGGAAGAAAATATCAGCAACACCTATGATCCCAAGACATCATCTGATCCCTTTATTTGTTGGAAGCTATTCGTTGGAGAGATGTGGAAACTCTTCATGGATGGAGCATCCAACAGGCACGATGCAGGACTTGGCATAGTCCTTATCTCACCAGATGGCCTAACAATTGAACAGGAAGTCAATCTGGGCTTCCCAGCATCCAACAATGAGGCAAAGTATGAAGCACTGTTGGCAGGCTTAAAGTCAGCACTTTACATAAAGGGCACCGAGCTAATGGTTTACAGCGACTCTCAGTTGGTAGTAAACCAGATTTCAGGCGACTACGAAGCAAAAGATGAAAGGATGGCTAAGTACCAAGAGTTAGTCAGAAAAAAGATCATGAAGTTTGAAGTAGTTTGGATAGAGCAGATCGGCCGAGAAGAAAATAGTAGAGCAGACGAGCTAGCAGGTTTTGCTTCAATGGCAGATACATTCATCCCACACCCATTGTTGATCGACTTTCTACCTAGACCAAGTATTGAGGAACCTGAAGCGGCCGAGGCATGTTGCGCCGAACTAGGCCCATCCTGGATGAATCCTATTATAGTATTTTTAAAAAACGGCATCTTGCCTGAAGAAAAGAAAGAGGCCAACAAAATTAGAACAAAATCACAATGATTTTGGCTCTCTCCATCATTAGCGTTATACAAAAAATCATTCACAGGACCTTACCTGAAATGTGTCCATCCCAGCAAAGTCGAGGCATTTTTGTTCGAGATATATGAAGGCATATGCGGAAGCCACCAAGGGGGAAGATCATTGGCTTACAGAGCAATTTCACAAGGATATTGGTGGCCATACATGTAAGCAGATTCAAAGAAATATGTCAAGAGGTATGAGAAATGTCAGAAGTTCGCACACCAAATACATCAACCAGCCAGAGAGCTTCTACCATTAACTAGCCCATGGCCCTTCGCAATGTAAGTCCTGGACATAGTGGGGCCACTTCCAATTGTACCCGGCAATAGAAAATTCTTCCTTGCAGCAACAGACTACTTCACAAAGTGGGTAGAGGCAGAAGCACTCGCATCAATAAAGGAGAAAGACGTTAAGAAGTTCGTCTGGCGGAACATCATAATTAGATTTAGCATACCCGAGGCTCTAATATCTGACAATGGCATTCAGTTCGATAGCCAAATTTTCAGGGGCTTTTGCGAGGAATACAAGATCGAATTCTATAACTCTACACCAGCATACCCTCAAGCAAATGGCCAAGCAGAAGCCTCGAACAAAGTCGTATTAGACAGTTTGAAGAAAAGATTAGAGAGGACAAAAGACAAATGGGCAGAGGAGCTTCCTCATGTTTTATGGGCTTACCGTACCACACCACGACGGTCACCTATAGAAACGCCTTTTTCCTTGGCTTATGGCATGAAGGTAGTAATCCCAATGGAAATAGGTCTCCCCACAATTACAAGTGAAAATTTTGACCCAAACTTGAATGAAGAAGCCATAACCTTGGAACTCGACCTTGCAGAAGAGAGAAGGGAAAAATCACTAGTTTACATTGCCTCATACCAACAAGAGTTATTCAGAAAATATAACAAAACAGTACATCCGAGACAGTTCAAGATTGGAGATTGGGTGCTGCGCAAAGTAATGGGCAACACTTTGGTACCTGGAAATGGCAAGTTAGGACCTAACTGGAAAAGACCATACAAAGTGGTCGGGTTAGCAGGAAAATGGGCATATCACCTGGAAGATGAAGACAACAAAGTTATTCCCAAGCCATGGAACACTGCCAATCTCAAACTATTTTAATTTTAGCTTTTCCTTAAAATACTTGTAATTTTTCTTTTTCAAATAAAACAAGTAGTTTCTTTTTTAGCATAAATCTTTCTATTATAAAAGTTGTTCTTAGCCTTTGCCAGCAAGGGGCAATGAAGAAGCTTGGTAGGATTGGTCAGCATTTAGCTCTCTTCAGTCGAGATAAGGATCTACGCTGAAGAAAGTTAGCAGGTTTGACCAACAATTAGCTCTCTTCTTCAGCCGAGAAAAGGATCAAGGCTGAAGAAGGTTGGCAGGTTTGACCAACATTTTCTCTTCTTCAGTCGAGATAAGAATCTAGGATGAAGAAGGTTGGTAGGTATAACCAACAATTTTCTCTTCTTCGGCCGAGATAATCAAGGTTGAAGAATGTTGGCAGGTTTGACCAACATTTTCTCTTCTTCAACCGAGATAAGGATCTAGGCTGAAGAAGGTTGGCGGGTATGACGAACATTCAACTCTCTTTTTCAGCCGAGATAAGGATCAAGACTGAAAAAGGTTGGCAGGTATGACCAACATTCAACTCTCTTCTTCAGCCGAGATAAAGATCTAGGCTGAAAAAGATTGGCAGGCATGACCAACATTTAGCTCTCTTCAGCCGAGATAAGGATCTAGGCTGAAGAAACTTAATAGATTACCGGGCTCTTGGAACGAGATAGCTATCTCGGCCAAAACATATTAAGACATAGCAACCGAGCAAAGAGTTCAATCCTGATGCAATTAAATTTGAAGGATACAATTACG